TGATGACTCATTTTTACTATTGTACATCGACGGTTCCAATGCGGCATGCCACCCCATGCTAACAAAACAAACTATTTATTTCCCGGTAACTGCGCTAAGCGGAAGTTACAGGAACAAGAAACCTTTTTCGATTTAAATGACCATTGACCATACGGTTAAAAACATGATATTCGAAGACCTTGCAATTTTATTTCAGATAAGGGATTCTGTATACAAAAATTTTTATTGTTTATCTGATAAAAATCGGTCCGGGTTAGCCGGACTTCCGGGTTATCGGGGGCCGACTTATCGGGGTTCCACTGTATTTATATCTAATTACACAAATATATGATGTGATGCGATGCGATTCTATTTTTAATAATTTTCTCTTCAGTCTTCAACTTTATAATTTATAATATGCTGTGTGTTATGTTTTTTGAAACACCTTGTAGGTAAATCGACTATCCCAATGTATGTATGTAAAAACAACCATAAAAGTTCTTAGGTGCGAGTTAGTGAGATTTTTAATTAAGAGTAATAGGTAATTATTATTTCAATAATTTTTGTGGTTGCCATTTTTTCCAAAATTGCATAATTATTGGATACTTACTATAATAATAATTATTAAAACAATTATTGTCAAAAACAAATTTCTAATAAATAATTAATTGAACATTCAAATACATACCTTCTGCATTATTTGAGGAAGTTCCTGGTAAATTAATATTTTCGGGTAAATGAATAAAATCAGACCTCTCCATCTCGGTTTGCGATGCCGATGGTCCTGCTTCTTCAACATTTTGTTTTTTAAAAAAATTATACAATTTTGGTACATTTTCTAAAGCTTCGGCTCGCTTTAGGACTTTTTCTCTGGCAATTTTCCGCTTTTTTGCGCCGCTTAGCGAATAACTCATTTTATACAGTACAAGTAGTCAAGTAATAAGTCAAAAAAAACTCTACCTATCTAGGTAATAGCTTCACACACAATACTTCACTTCACATAGGATAACTCCACAGATTCAGAAAAAATAATTAACACCACTCTAACTCTAGGCCTCTAGGTATAGGCAATCGTAATTCGTAACCGACCAATCGGTATATTAACTGCAATTGAATACACCATACACGATACACGCATACACCTTTAATTTTTTTGCTTTTCAAGACAATGCAAGTTAGCGTCTATCTAAAAGGACCATCTATAAAACAGTAAAACAAAAATAAGGAAAACCATGGCAGGCACCAGCTTAAATATATTTCCAGCTCTGGGTCTGGAGGGGGGAGGCCGCCGCTATCAAAGACAAAGGCAAGGCGGCCGCCCCTATCAGAAGCGAAGGCGGCCGGCCGGGTCAAAGGTAAAGGCGGCCACGGTGTATTTCGTTGAACGCCGCGCGATATCCGTTTTACCAAAGTCTACTAAATGTAGACTTTGGTTTTACATGCTTGCTATTTACTAAAATAAAAAATAAGTTAGACCAAAAAATGCAGAAAAGAAGATGGGATATTTAGGAATTCTCTTCTTTTTGGTAATTTTAATAAGCATAAGCACTGAGGATTTTTTCGTAACTTTATGTTAAGACAAGTTTTTAAAAGGGCCCCCCAAAGCTCTGGGCCCTGGGCTATAGCCTACATAGCCTAATGGATAATCCGGTGGTGAGAACAAGGTTTAACACTGAGCCGTGGATTAGAAATATGCAGAGCTGCTGAGGTGGCAGCAAGATAGTTGAGTGTTATTAGCGGAGCCAATAGTAGCCAATCGTTAGAAGTTCTAGAGATACAAAAGCAGAAAAAACATCAATCAAATAGAAACCAGCAGCTTAAACCTGTTCCTCAATGTACATCTGATTGTGGTCAGTATTACCGAAATCATCCCCAGATGTCAGGAAATCAAAAGATAAGTAATAATTTTATAAAAAAACTGTTGTATAAAAAAAGTGTGGTTCTAAGCATAAGTTAAACAAGTGTCCTGCTTATTGATTACGGTGTAAAATTTGTAATAAATTTAACCATTTTGCAAAAGTTTGTAATGCTAATGGTTATAAAAATAGAATCCATAATGTAAATGTCCATCAAAGTGATACTGATTCAGATTATGATTTTTCTCCAGATAAAATTTTTCTAAATAATATAAATGAAAAGTCTTCAGAAAAGTGGTATGAAGACTGTTTTATAAATAATAAAATAATTGTATCCTTTAGATTAGATTCAGGAGCAGACTGTTGTGATTTGCCATACACTTATTTTAAAAAATTAAATATTCAAACTTCTGAACTTTCTAGTAGCACCAATAAAATTACTGATTATAATGGAAAAATAATAAATTCAATAGGAACTGTATATTTAAAAGTCAGGCAATGCAAAAATAAAGAAAATATAGCTAAATTGAAATTTTATATTGTTAAAACACATAATGATGCAATACTTGGCCTTGATGCCTGTATAATGTTAAAGTTAATTCAAAAAAATAATATCAATGTAATAAATGATAATTTACACAAGGATACTGATAGTATTAATCAAATAATTCATGAATATAATGATGCTTTTAGGGGTGTAGGATGTTTGAAAGGTAAACATACCATAAAAATTAATGAGAAAGTAGCCCCCAGGGGTCGTATTTTTGAATGTGTTCGAATTTACTCGCATGCGATTAGTTCGAACGAAAAAAAATCGTGCACGAACGTAAAAGCGTATTTTCGAACGCAATTCGAAAGTTTAAAGCTGGATTTATAGTTTGACGGACTGTAGACGCAAACGCACTGGAAAAAGATCAACATAGACTTTTGTGTACTCCTATTTATAAATGAACGTAAACGCAAGACGGGACGTAAGCGAAACGCACTGTAACGGAAGAGTTGGTCAACTTTCAACTTTTACAGTGCGTTTCTTACGTCTGACCAATCAAAAGAAAGAATGGGTTATGTTCATTGCACCAATATTGAAATATGCCAAACATTGATCTGGATCTTCTGTCTTCATCTTTAAAAAATAATTATAAGCATTCTCTATTTTTCTATTACGGTTTATTGGTCTTGTTTTATAACGTCTTGGTCGCCTTATTATTGTCCTTCTAGTTTTTTTTTGCACACAGCACAGCAGCAATCCTACAGCGCCAAGGAGCATACCTTCGTATATTTGACAATCCATTCTAACACGCAAAAAAAGTTAAAAAAAATATTATAATAAACAATAGTATAAACACACACCCTTTGTTTATTATGAATTCTGATTCCTATAATTGTATAATTTATAGGTTATATTGAATGTTGTGGGCATCGAGCAAAAAGATAAAAGATGGAATGTAAAGGTAGTGGGGACAAAAATATTGTTAGACAGGAAGTGCTATCTTGAGAGGCCACTTTAAACAAGGAAAGATAGTCTTTCCTTGTTTGAGAAGTCAAATTTAGTTTGGTTATGTTATTGTTTGTCCCAACTGTCACATGAAATTTTATTTATATTGAAGTTTTTTACCAATTGTGTCACTTTTTAGACTATTATAGTTAATATTTATTTAAAACTTTCTCGTCTGAAAAACATTTTATAGCTATTTGTTAATAAGTGTTGGAAAATTTAAATTTAGCGCCTTTGGATTTCCGGATATGTCCGCCATCAGAGGCCACTTTTTTGGTCTCCTTTTCATAACGATTAGATTCCCTCTTTTATCTTTTTGCTCGATGGTTGTGGGTCACCAATTCTTGTCTTTACTCATGCGCAAAAATTCCACTACGTCCATTTATAAATTGAAAAAATATTTACAGTCCGTTTCTTACGTCTCCAGTGCGTCTACGTCTACAGTACGTCAAACTATAAATCCAGCTTAATTCGCATACGAGAATCCGTTAACTCAAATTTACCGGCAACGCCGCAAATTCGCACGAAATTAAAAAAAGAAGAGGTAGAGGTCACGGTTCGTAGACTTACTACGGTTGCCTCTTCCGACTGGGGTGGGGATGCTTGAGTTACGTCACAGGAGTACACAAGAATACAAAACCCATTTATTCGCGATTGAAACTGAATGTAGAGGGCAGGTCGATTGCAGTTTCATGGCCGATATAAATGGTATAAACAAAAACAAACAACATTCGAATTTCGAACAATTTACCAGTTAGTTTGAATCATTTAATCTAATCTTATTTTACTCTAATCGTTAGAGTTATTTGAATCATTTAATAATGGAAATTAACCTTAATGATATCTTTGAGTATTGTGGTGAAGCAAAAAGTCCATTGGTTGAAGGGGAAGCAGTTTTCAAGTGATGAATTCCTAAATTTTAACTTTAATGTTTCGAACTGGCTTGTGTATTGATGATGATGAATCCTATTTTGTGTATACCTGGGAACCCAGAATATAATATTCTGTGTAATGTTTGCCTTAACGTATATATGCATTATTATACCTTATGTTTTTAATATGTTAATTTTTATTTTATATTATTTTTTGACATATGTAAGTACTTTATTGTATATTAACATAAATAAATAACTTTAACTTGGCTTTATTGTAAAATAGTTCATTTGATTACATGAAATCAACCTACTTTATTTATAAAACATTTTTGTTTTGATACATCCATCCAATCACAGGGCTGAATGTTAAGATTTAAATTACGTCACAGGAGTACAATCCGGCTTAATGTTCATTGGTTAGGCGGAAAAAGCAACCGTAGTAAGTTTAGGAACCGTGGGTAGAGGTGACAGGCGACATTTATTTGACTGACAAGTTTATGTTTATTTTACTTGTTGCAGCAGACTTGAAGTTTTTAGTTTTTTGTGATTTGCTCAATTTTCTACAAAGTGTTAACGTGTTTTGGCTTGTGTTTTCGTTCTTATCTGTTTTCTCTGTTTCCAATATGGACAAAGAAAATAAAAATTCCATGTTCGGAGGATTTGTATCTTCTGAACAAAAAAAAGAACTGATAAATTTTATGGAAGAAAATCCCGATTTAAAAAGTGGGAAATTTACAAACAATTTTACATATAAAACTGCCCAAACAATGTGGCAGACATTAAGCCAAATATTAAATGCTTTGCCAGGAGCAAAGAAAGAGTGGAAACAATGGCGTAAGGTAAGTAACGAAAGCAAAATGTAGATAAGTATAACTTGATACCTATTGTAACATGCATAAAAACTAAAAAATAGCCCCTTGTAATGCAAACATCGCTTTTCATGTAGATTTGATTTCAGGTAAATTCTAACATTTTGAGAATAATTTCCGGTTTGGAAGTCGAAATGTCAATGTAAAAAATGTAATTTTGATTACAATTATTGTGGCTTATTCCCATAAACACAATTTCTAATCTCTTTTCATATTTTATAATAGTTTTTATACAAAATCAAAAGGAAATGTACCTATGATTTATTTGTTTTATTTTAGACATGGCAAGATATGAAATCTAACAAAAAGAAAAAACACAAAAATTAAAAATTCCCAAGTGGAAACTGGAGGTGAACCACCCATTAAAGATGTCAAAATGACTGAGGAAGACCTAAAAATTATTGAAATCTTAGGGACTGCAATAGTTGAGGGTGACCCTTTAGTTGCAGAATCTGCCACCTCATTTCATTTCAGAGTACATCCACCTAGAAAGGTACCATTTGCCATGCATGACAAACTGATGGATAAACTGAAGGAGCTGGAAAGACATAAAATAATTAGAAAAGTGACAGAACCAACAGATTGGGTAAATTCTCTTGTAATAGTTAATAAAAAAGGTAATAATGATATAAGAATTTGTATGGATCCTAAGGATCTTAACAATGCTATTAAGCGAGAGCATTTTTATATTCCTACACTTGAAGATATTTCTAGTCGACTAAAAGGTTCTTGTTATTTTTCTGTTTTGTATAATAAAGTAAATAAATATGGCCACGGTTTTAGTGACGTCTATACAAAGGAGTATATATTTATAACTTTGCATGATAAAATAAAACTTTGTTTTTACAATTTTCCTTACAGTTTCATTATATTTTTTATTTTAATTATTATTACCATACAGTATTACAAAACTTCTCAAGTTATGTCGTTACCGAGAAATAGGGATTCATATAGTAGTTTATTCGTTGTCCAATTTCGAGATTGGTGTTCTAATTTACGAATAGAAAAAAAATATATGAGCTTGCTGCACTCTCTGTGCTAATGACCAGATGATGATTGTACTTTAGGAAACTTACAGAAGATGGTATTATATATATAAGTTGTTCATACTCCTCAACACAAAGGATTCGGATAACTGTTAAATTAACCAAGACTGTTTATTGGGATTAGAAAAGGAATTGAGGAAAGTTCTGCAAAACGTAAGTGGAATAATATTTTATATTTTCAATATCATCGGGGATTAGTCCAGCCAAAAATTGCAATAGACACTGATGGCGGATCCACCGTTAAAAGTTATGGATTTAAAAATTATAAAAACGGGAAATGTTCACGTGCACTTTTCATTTTCGCCGAAAATAGAACGAATACCTTAGAGAAATATGCATAGACAAAAATACATTATAGTACGTACGGCCAAAATAGCCTCCCTACTTTCTGACAGAACTTTTTTACACTGGGGCCGTAGATAAAACAAAAGAATAATTTTCAGTGTAGTGTGTGTCCTGTAAATCGAACGAGTACCGATCACAATGATAAATTTTTTTAATAAAAAATCCTATCACTTACCTTATTCGAACCTGCAACCTCTGAGATTTTACATTCGTACCATAACAATATTATCCCTGCGCTACCGAGGCTTTATTCACATAGCTTATTTGATTTAATGTGAATGTTTTTTTAGATATGCCAATGAAAATACTAAACCTGGAGCCCTATCTATGGGTGCAAAATCCCTTTGTATCCCCTTGGAACAATCTACCGATATTAAACCAAGCGATAAATGCATACATCCAGACTGTAAAAGCAATCCGAAGTATTACACATTGTTCGGAAGAAGTTACTGAAATGTTCGTGAAATAATTTAACTAAAAATATCTTGTAACATTTTTATTTTCAGAATAACATTTTTCAAATGATCTTATTTAGTTTTAATTTGAATAACATTCATGTTTTAGTATCACTATGGCAATTCTTGCTTTTTTGTTGAATTTGGCTTCTTCCCAGATACTATGTCTATCTTTTGTATATTTGTAACTTTGTCTATTTTTGCATGTTCTTCTTTAACTCTTTGTAGTAATTCATCCTAAAATTTATTATATTATAATATTTAACAGTTAGCAACGTTTAACGTGCAATTAGCAAAACAGATTTAATGGAATGTAAAGGGCTCATTATATTTTAATAGACCTTCTAGGTTTTCGATTTCAAGCGAGTTAAAAACCGGCAAATACTGTGTTGAGTTTACGGGTTCATAGTGTCCTCATACATCTATAGTCGATAAAGGATACACAAACAAGGTATTAGTACATTCTTAACTATGACGGATTTTTAGGCCTCTTTGGTAACCTTTAAATTTTGGGTTAGACGAGATTTTTTCGTCCGTCGGTACGATGGGAAGAAATAGTTTCGCGGGCAGTAATTTACTTATGCATCTGTGAGGTGTTAGTTAATATTATCTGCTATTCAGACAGACTAGCTATCGGCGATAAAAGGAACCCGATAAATAGACACGCCCAATATATAGTATTGTTCACACTAAAATCATATCACGTCACGATTTATACAAACTGATGAATTTAAAATTTTCATAAGATCAACCCTAGAGTTCAAAGTTCAAATTTTCCTAACACAGCATAAAATACGACACCCATACAGAGCTGTTCGATCTTTCATAGGCGTCAATATGGTATAAAAATAAGACAAATGTATTCGTGATTACATTAAGAATTTTGGAATTGATTAAATATACAAAAACAATTCTTATTAAATTATTGATACACAAATTTTATGCAACAACTGTTTAATACAAATAAAATTAAATATTTTAATTAAATAGATTAAACAATCGTACGCCAGTGATACAGGTATAATTGAAACTCAAATGATATTTGGTAGTGTGGCCAGAATGCTTAAAAGACGATAATTTAAAATCTTTAAAATAATAAGAATTCTGTTTATGTTTCTTTTCATCTGTTATCAATTTGATTCGCAATAACGATTTGATTATAACGTTAATAAACTAGATTTATTACAGCTAATTTCTTGAAGGTTCCAGGTGTCACCTTATTATAGCGAGGCCACTGTATTTGTAGCCATTTCACTTTATATGATGCCACCTTCATTGCCATCCAAAACTCTCCAATTCGCGTCCCTAAGGGTGCATTCATTACGGAGACCATCACATGGTATCCTCGCCTAGAGCATAGCACTGACAGTGAACGCTCGCATTTAAAATAATGCATTTATTTGATCTAAAATCGATAATATGATACCATCCTATGGTCCGATCGAGGGTCGCGCCTCGTTATGAACGCACACTAATCGTCGCTAGGACAGTATCATCATACTTGTCCTCTGGGAACTCAATCTCGAAAAGAGTCCTTAGGGCCTCCCCGCCACTGGAAGATCGACCTTCACTGAGAAGACACTAATAATCAACCCGGAGTCGGATCTTCGGAGAGGGCATGATGGAGCTGCTTAGTTGCAGCGGACATATGTTACATGCTGTCATAGTATGCTTTCCCAGAGCTGCCTTTGAAATGTCTATAAATGAAGAATATCTATTTAATTAGGTCAATAGATATTCTTCATTTAGGGTTATGCTGTCACTAATAAGTTTTTGTGGGGTTTATAAAAAAATAATTTTATCTGCTAACGAACTTGAAGTGTGATTTTCTTTAATTAGTGAATGACATTTTTAGAAATGGAGCAATCTTTTTCTGTTTCAAAATATGGTTCGAGTACCAATTCATCAATCAAAGTTGTTGGTAACCATGAGTGTGTCCCATGAAAGTTGACAATTGTTCTACATCTTGATCAGTCATAGAAAAATTTTGTGACAATCTAGCCAAATGTTTTCTTAGTCTGGTTGCCGATAGTGCATTATTATTTTTAGCTCCACACTCCCTAGCAAATTGTTTTAAAACTTTATAGCCCGCTATTGGTTCGATTGTTCCTGGATTACCAAACAGATCACAATTTTTAGAACCTACGAAATTATCACGAAACTTAAGCAATGTTTCTATTTGTTCTTGCACATCACAACTGAACAGTACTGGTACACCTTTACCCCATTTTCCTCGTATTACGATTCTTTTAAATCGCTGCATTAAAATTTTCTCACAGGGTGAAACAACTAAATCAAATTCTTCATATTTATTAGTAGGCGCTTCTGATTTTTCATATAAGTACAGTGGTAACCTTTGCAGCTCTCCAAGTCTTCGTCTATTTGAAAGCAAAATTTTACAATAAACACATTTTAGGAGAGCTATATAGTGACTTTTATTTTTATTTTCTTTTAATAAATCTTTCTTTGCATTGTTTGCTTTCCGAGTTAGATATTCCTTTAATAATTTAAGGTCACTTGCCAGAGGAACTATAGTTACCTTGTTCCATTTTTTCACAGATAAATCATTATTAGCTTGATAAGAGACTTCAAATTTCCAGTGAGATTCTATAAGTCTAGTCTTTAAATCAGCCTCGGCATTAGCTGTCGACATATTTCCAAAATTCTGTTTTCTTTTAAGTGCTTGTAATGTAGTAATATCGCAGCATTGTTTTAATGAGGTGCCCATGTTTAAAGCATACGTAGGTGACTTATAATAATTGTTAAGTGGATCATATTTTGCGACTGTTTTTGTTGCTGCTACTAAGGTGTCAAAATATTTAGGATGTAAAGCTTCAAATAAATATTTTACAGTGCTTTCCATTTTCTTCACCTCAATTAATAATTTTGCTAATTCGCGCATTTTACGTGAAGCTACATTTATAAGATGGGTTTCCCTATGTTCCTTTAGGTATCTTGCTGCAAAAGCACAAATTAAAGTATCCTTTTTAGCAGCCATAGATATTTCGTCGGGTCTCATTCTTGGAAATACTTTCTGCTGAAGTTCTGGATCTACCTGTAGACCTTTCAATAAAATATTTTGCCCATCAATTTTTGAATTAGTTTTTGTTGCTCCTGGACATTGTTTCCTATGTCGCCATAACATTTTTGATGAATAGAAACCCAAACAGTTGCTACACAGTACTAAAATAGTATTTGTTAAATTTATTTTTTTAACTGGTTTTTGAATGTGATTGTTATTAAGAAAATTACGTTTTCTTAGAGTGGCAATTAAATCTTTACGCGGCTTACAACCCGCTGGTAAAGACAAGATCTTCTGTACTTCGATCTCTACAGAGTGATTTCTTTTAATGTGTCACGCAAAATTTTTCACTAAACTCCCACAAAAGTAACAGAAATCTTCAGTAATTTTGTTTCCGATTCGTTCTTTCTTAAGTTCAGCCTAAAACAAAAAAAGTTAATCTAAAGCAGGTAATAAATGCATTAGAAATTTACCTTCGAATTTTCACCGTAATTATCATAGGGTAAATTTTTTATATTATTAATGACATTAGAAGTTATGCCCAAAATATTCTGATTGTCATGAGATTCAGTAGAGTTACTAGAACGCTCATTTAATTCACAGTCGGAATCTTCACTGCTTGGTGAAAAGTTCGGATCGTTAATAGAATCGTCAACAGGAGAATTCTCTGCTTCACTTTCAAATCTGCATACATTCTAGGAAGAAAAAACTCGGTAAAAAAATAGACTGATAACGAATGTACACGATAAACATATTTTTTACTTAATAAATTAAATGGATGCAATCAAAACAATTATTCTTAATGACACATTAAAAATATGAATTTTAGGGTGCTTTAATTTGGTCCCTATGGAAAATCTAAAAATATGCAAAAACACGTCAAATTTATATGTGAGGGGAACATTTTGTAGACCAGTTTTCAACTAAATTACACCAGCCCTCTAACGGGGGCAGACACAACTCCCAAAATCTTTAATGGAGAGAGGGGTTGAGTGATACACCATTTTAAAGGCCGTTCAATTATCTTTTCAAAAATACCACATACATTGTATTTATTTTCAGTATAAATTTGGAAAAGTCAAGTAAATCCGTAAAGATATTAAGTATCGAGTTCAGAACTCCAAAATTTTTTGGAGTATTGAGTCTAATATTTTTCCAATAAAGTTTGGTATTTTTGAAAAGTTAATTGAAAGATCTTTAAAATGAGGTATCACTTAATCCCCCTTCCATTAAATATTTTGTGGGTTGTGTCCGCCCCCGCTGGAGGGTTGATGTAATTTAGTTGAAAACTAGTCTACAAAATGTCCCCCTTACAGATAAATTTGACATGTTTTTGCATATTTTTAGATTTTCTATAGGGACCAAATTATAGAGGGTGGCAACTTTTCAAATTGATACCCTGTATAGTTTTTGATAAAGCATATTTTACGGTGATCTGCAGAGGAAACTAGATGAAGCTAAGAGAGAAAGAAATGCGGAATAGTATGATGATGAATGTAGAACAGCGGTAGAAGAAAAAAGTCAAGCTAGACTTGAACAATTACAAAGGAATACTAGATATAACAGGGAAATTTATAGCGAGAACAGAATAAAAGCGACTAGAAAATGTAAAAAAAAGAAAAGAGAGGCTCTGAAAAAACAAGTTCAAGAGATTCTAAAGCCTAACAACAAACACGAAAGTAGAAAATTCTACAAAAAAGTAAAAGAAACTAGAAACCACACAATCATGTACACCAGGCTTGAAATTATGTGTGTGTGTTTTATTGGTAGGTACTGATTTTAGCAACCAACTGGCCAGGTTGTTTTGAGTTCTCTCTTTTACAAAAGATGTGCTTGGTATCTACATTTAAAACTATTACTACTAAGTTTTTTACTCTGTTTTTTTTTTGTTTTATTCTATTTTTTATTGCTATTTTTTGTATTGTATTTTTTTATTATTTTTTCCTTATTTAGTTTTTTTCTGTTTTTTTTTATGTATTTTTTTGTATATTCTTTTTTACTACGCTAAGTAAAGTAAGTTTACATCTTCTTTGTAACTTTTTATATTATTTTATTTTTTTAGAGTTTTAATTTTAAACAATTAATATGACTGTATAAAATTTTATATACATCTAGATTCTTTGACTCTAGAAGATATGTAAGATTAGAAGGTAATTGAACATTAACTTGAATTAGATTGGTATATAAGTTTGATATTTCAATAAAAAGTAGAGGACATTTTAATAGCATATTGTTGTAGATGATCTAGCTCCCCACCTAAACATTCATCATTATCTACAAGTCATATTTTTCTTTTGTAGACTGGAATTAATTTACACAAAAAGAAGAATGTACGTAATTTATTTAATTCAAATACATTTTACTGCTATCAGAAAACAGAAAAAAATTAATATTTAAGAAGTAAACATTGCTTTTCTCTTAAATTCAATGTTCAAGCTGACACTCACCAGCCTCTTGGAAGTTTGAACATTTAATTTATGCGAAAAGCAATGTTTATTTGTGAAATAAACATTTTTTTCTGTTTTATAATAGCAGTAAAATGTATTTTGAATTAGACAAATTACATACACCCTTCTTTTTGTGTAGATTAATTTAATTAATTTTTTTTTGGACACCCTGTATAAATAATTATGTCAATGTTTATATTACTGAATAGAGAATCAATTACGTCATCACACCTGGATGAATGACGTCACTAGTATGATAAATATGCCAAAAAATCATAATTTAAAAATAAAAATCGACTTGGTTCGGGATTTTCCTTAAAGTCGCCGGTTTACGAAATAATGAATTTATTCCATTTGACTTTGTCACACCGTATAGATTTTGGGCAAGGTTTTAATAGTGTTAAAAGAAACAAAATGCTAGAAGATATTCGTAACCTGGGTATACCTAATAAATATATCAGTCTCATAAAAATGGCATTACAGTAGCCAAAATCCACAGTTAGTTAGGGTCGATGGAGGACTGACACCGCTATTATTTGACATTAATGTGCACAAATGAGACGCACTATCAACCATGCTGTTTAATCTAATCCTTGAAGCTGTCATCCGAAAAACGAATGTGAAAGGAGTCATATAAACACCAAGTCAATACAAATAACTGCTTATGCAGATGATTGTAGCCATCATCAGCAGGAGCAAACAACGTCTCATAGGGGCGTTAAAGGAAATTGATTGTGAAGCACAAAAAGAGAACGACAAATAAATTAAACAAAGACCAAGTATATGACTGTCAAAAGAACGCTTGATATTAAGTGCGTTCGCAGAGACTGTCGGCAACTTTTTGCGCAGACAACGCATGCGCACATTAAAATAATATAAATAATACCCTTGATTGATAAATATAAAGGTATATTTACTATTAATTAATTAATATTATTAATTAATTATTAACTATTAATATACTGGTATATTTATCAATCAACGATAATACATTAAATAAATATATATATATATATATATATATATATATATATATATATATATATATATATATATAATATGTGGAATTAAAGTGTGCATGCGCAAAATTATTAGACAGAAGGGCCATCATGATTAGTTACAGAACATAAATTAGACCTGTAGCAACCTATGGATGTGTGTGAGACCTGGTTAATGACAAAAAAGATGAAGAACATCTTGAGATATTTTATAGAAAGATATTAAAAAAGTATATGCACCAGTACAAGAGGATGGCACTTGGAGGATCAGAAGAACGTTGAGATCAATGAAATAAACGAAAGGCACGATATTGTACGATTTAAAATCGGAGGTAGGTATGGCGGTGTAATGTCCAAAGATTAAAAGACCCAAAATCAACAAAGAATTTTACAAAGGAAACCACCAGAAAGGCTAAAGAGAGGAAGACCCAGAATGAGATGGTTGGATACCGTGAAAGACGATCTGAAAACCATGAACATAATACTTACAATGGAGAAGTAAGACGCAGCGCGAGAGAAGTCTAAATGGAGTGAAATAGTCAAACAGACAAAGACCCATCCAGAGTTATAATGCAATAAGAAGAAGAAGAAGAACCTATACTAAAGTTGTGTACAATTAAATAAAAGAAAATCAATTTTAAATTTTATGTCTACTGGAGCCACAATAAATTATGAAATGAAAAAATAGCTCGTAGGTATTTATGTATAAAAATTTGATTTAAAAGCTTTTTAAACAAAAAAAAATTACGTGTGAATACAAGCTTTTTTTATTTCATAAATTGCGTGTACGCTAATATTTATTTTCCGTTGTCATAATAAATTATATCACGATTACTTCAATTTACTTTAATTTTATATAATTATAAGAACCTACTTCTCTGTATAATTGTTCCACACTGAAATCCCCGGACGAAGTTATGCTACGATCTTGTAAACTCTCTTCCATTTCTTTCACTGGTGAATTGTTTCTTCCGTCATTCAAAACATCTTTTATAGGAGATAGTGGTTTATTACAGAACCAGTTACTTTTTTTCAAGTTTCTGCCATTGGTTGAAGTACAGTGATACTGTAAATATTTATTTTATTAAAACTTACAAATCATCTGAAATATTACAACTTACATATTCAGCTGAAAATAACCTTCCGATCATATTATATCTCAATAACTAAAAAATATTATACCTAACAGCATATTTGCAATAAACCAGTCACTTACTGCCACTAACTTGCCATACGACCGACATACAACATTACTGACCTGTTTATGGTTCTCGGATTTAATATATATTAATATTATTATCTCGCGGCATATTTAATTTAGCAGGTACTTTTTCCCAGAGAATTGGGAAAAATTATGAATGAACGATTGAAACGAATTTTGCCGCTGGTAGCAACAGATAAGTAATACTTGTATTATTATGGTAAAATTGAAAAACGAAAAAAAAAACGGTTTAACACCTTAGTTGCGTTTAGAGATATTTATAAACTTTTGTTTTTTTTAACAGTTATTGTAACACGTTCATCTTTAATAAAATATGTTGATGTACACACGTTGCCGGTTAGTTTTTTAAAATTAGTATTAATTATTGGTTACATTTTGTTTGTTTATGTAAAATATAATTTTTTTTGTTTCAAATTAAATTTAAAATATATTATTAATAACTATATAAATGTATAATTTTTTATTTATAATTATACAATTTGTGGAAATATTGCCAAAGTTAAAACTACGCAAAGCAAAATAAAAAAATAATAAAAACTTTCACTTTTTACATTAGAATGAATAACTGAAACTAATTTTCAGCACCCAGTTTTTCATAAAACAGTTTTTGGAAAATTCAAATGTAAATAGTGGACTACGGGTTTTTTTAATAGGTAGATACTTGGGATTTGGTCCTTAAAGACTCTCGATGATCAAAAGTTGTAAATCGCAAAGGTAAATTTTCTTTTGATATCTACTGTTATATAGGAAATATGCATTCAGCAAGATGAGCTGAAAAATATGCACTTGTTTAACTTTTTATACCTACCACCTTCTGTTTGCATGAATAGTAGCTCAGCATTTGTTCACGTAAGTCAATTTCAAATTTATATTTATTATATTGAGCAATTAAATTTCTCAGATACCAATCCTGTTTGATCTAGTTTTAACCATCTGACAACCAAATTCTGAACATATCATGTATATGCCTCGTTTATCTTTGCATTTGGTCACACATATTCCTTTAGGACTGTAAATACTGACCACTTCACGTTTTTTTTGTTTATTTAAGTGGGTATAGTCTATTTGGTTATTTCTTAATTTGGGCTATGAGCAATTGTCTAGTCAAGTCAACACTATTATAGAAGTTATCCGTACTTTTCCAGTAGTCATTTAGACGGTTTATCTCCATATGGAATATAAGCCCGAGAAAAGTCTTAAATTCGTTTAGTGTTTTCTCTTTCCAAAACGCAATCCTCGATTTTTCTGAACGACTTTGTGAAAGTATTTCGTCAGAATCAGTCAGAGTCACTTCCACCATTTATTTAATCTACATTGTTCTCGTCAGATGCTTCCAGCAGTGGTCAATTTACGTTTATGTTCACATCTAGCTTTTTTAGATGTCGAAGGAATCAAATTTATATCCATTTTTTTTAAATACTAAACTCACAATCACATTTGACAGAGGTAATTAACAATAAAAACGTACTACTAGAAATTATCAACTTACCTCCAATACCATAAGCGCACTTGAGGCACAATACGTTTTTAACTTAAAAATAGTTCCTCTATAAGTAAAATTGTTTTTTTTAGTGTGCTTCATGTTCATGCTAAACACATTGCAGTTTTGGCATCACATGCTTCACAGTATGTTTTAACTTTTTTAACTTTTCTATTGGCCTTTCTACTAGTCATGCTTCTTCTTAAAATTTTGTAACAAAATGTACACTTTTTTCTCTTTTTATTATCTACATCGCTTTGCCTGAGATGGTATTTTTTTGGGTGTAACTGGTCGTGAGGGTACAAACATTTCTTTATTTGCAAATGTCTTCGGGAAATCCAGTCTGACCTCAAGGATAGGTTGTCGCTTTTTCGCTGGTATTTTTTTGGGTGTAACTGGTCGTGAGGGTACAAACATTTCTTTATTTGCAAATGTCTTCGGGAAATCCAGTCTGACCTTAAGGATAGGTTGTCGCTTTTTCGCTGGTATTCTTTTGGGTGTAACTGGTCGTGAGGGTACAAACATTTCTTTATTTGCAAATGTCTTCGGGAAATCCAGTCTGACCTCAAGGATAGGTTGTCGCTTTTTCTATTATTTAGCAACTAAGCATTGACTACTGCGGTATTAAATATTAATTCTACTGCCACTTTAGAATTTTACTTATTGGGCTTTGGTAAGAAGCCATTTGGTCATTAAAATCAACACCCCTTTTTAACAAGTTATAATCGAGAATAGCTTGTGGTTTCTTTTCACCTAATTAAACCGAGAAACAACTATTATGTTTAAATGTTGTAAGGATTAAAACTGGTCTTTTGTTGACCCATTTTATCACTTGTGACAATAATGGGGTCAAGTTTCATTATAGGTAACCGGTTGCCACATTTTTAATCGAGATTTTGGTTTTACTTTTTTGTAGTTAGAATATCATACTCATAAATTCGTTTCTTGAACCATGACTTCAACTCATCGATCAATATTCTAACAAAAAAATGCTGTTTTTACGTCGTCCGAAATATTATAAACTAGTTCTCTTTCACAAAGCGTTGGAAATATGGTACATTCTATATTTAGAAAAATCTTTTACTGCAACTCTTGTTCGACCTAAACTAAATTAATATACAAAACAACTAATCTATTTTTTATATAATATAGAAATGCAGATTCCTGTCGGATTTTTATCAGTGCGGCATGAGTCACTGGTGTCTCGTATATCCGGACCGCTTATCGCATTACAAACATAATTCTCAATTAGCAGTGCGGTACAAGATATATTTAGGTCGTATAATCTTAAAGCCGTAATAAGACCTTAAGACCGTATGTTATAAATAAATATATCCCTACAAGAATTATCTTGAAAAATGAGAAAAATACAATAAAAAAGTGCAATAGGAATAGCTTGTGGTTTAAAAAATGAAAAGTCATTCACGGGCGTACAGTTAAAAACAAAAGTTTTCAGTGTTCTATTGCTTGATTATCTGGTTGGTATATTTTAAAAATACTAGCTAAGTATTCTGAAAATGTTGACATTTTTTCCTGATCTGATCTTTCTCAACAACCGTTATCTTCCTTAATTGGTGGGTCGTGTTCCTCAGGTATCTTTAAGTGTTTTTGTTGCTATCCATACGGAATGATCTTCTTTAGACAATGTATTCATATATTTTTCAAATGTGGCATTACGTGCATCATGTAGAGCTATTCTTAATTGTCTGATTAGTCGATTATATTTGTGTTTGTCACTAAGATTTCGGCTTCTTTGCCATCTACCTCTGGCTCTTCATTTTCCGACGATTAATTGTATAATATAATTCAGAGTGTTATTTATGTTTCTTGATTTAAAATTGTTGATCGTGTAGCTCCATATGAAATAGTAGAAAATGAAAACGGCAGCATATTTATCCATAAAAAAAAAGGAAACGCGATAAAGATATCTGAAATAACTGTTTTGTTATAAGAGATGAAATAGGCGGAAATTACCAAAACAGGTGAACAGAGCACCATAAAGAGGAAGTAGAATTAGCTATGAAACAGTTTGAATAAGGAAAAGAAGTAAGCTTAGACCAAATACCAGCAGGAATTATTTAACTAACTGAGGAAAAGAATTAAATGGATAACAATATTCACTCTATTTACAGAAAAGGCTGTGACGTGCAAAAATTTTAAGAACTTCTTTAATAGCCTCCAGTAAACAGTTTCCTAATCATGTTTAAAAAAACGTACCGAATACACTATATAATACTAACCCAAGTCGTCAACGTTCTTGTTGTTGCAGTTATGTATTACGATCAACTTAAAGGTTATGCATGACTCCCTTTGTAAAGGTACACAGGCGTGCACCCGTGCAAAAAAGTCATTTTTTGTATTTGTCACGTATTTGTCATACCGTTACTTTATATCACATTTTAACGTTGAATATTGTATGGTCCCCTTTTGGGTTATAAAACGAATGATAGACTTTTTCCCGCACAGATGCAAGCCTATGTAACTTCACAAAGGGAGTCGTTTGCTGGGTATTAAAGAACTGTCTATGACCATCATATAATTTTAAACCAATATTTCAAGTTCTACGATGCATTCCACGTTAAACACACTTTTAGTTTTCTGTCATACTATTTGTTAAATCTGATCCCATTCACGTTACAGCGTCAAGGAGCAGTAAATGTATGCAGTGACCGGGAGGTCTATGTCTAACAGTGAACGTATGCAAAGAGATGTATGACATAATTGTGTGCTATTTGCTAAATCCTCACTTAATATGCCACACACCTCTGTGCGTTAATACGTTTTATTGCTGCCAGTTTACGGTATTATTACATGCCGCCCTGTTTAATTTGTCTTCACCATCTTACTACCTCCATTAAATCCAATCATTTTATGCTCTATATGTCATGATTAAACCTATAGGACCAAAGATACGTAACTAAGGCTCTTTTGACATAGCATATATAGGAGCAAATATATATACCTAAAGTCCTATCGACGTGTTGCTGTATTTGATTTCTACGTCGTAGTATTCTATTGGTTAAATCCTAATATTTGAGGTACTATACGTCACGATTGGACCAATAGGACCGTAGATACATAACTAAGGCCCTTTTGATAGGCTGCTGTATTTTATTTTTCTATCTTATTGTATTCGATGGGTTAAATCCTATCTGATATTTTTTCCTGGTCTGATCTTCCTCAACTAACGTTATCTTTTTTAATTGGTGAGTTGTGTTCTTCAGGTCTCTTTAAGGGTTTGTGTTGCTATCCATACTGAATGATCTTTAGACAATGTAGTAATGTAGTGTTCAAATGTGGCATTGCGTGCATCATGTAGCGCTGATCTTAATTGTCCGATTAGTCGATTATATGTGTGTTTGTCATTAGGATTTTGGCTTCTTTGCCATCTAACTCTGCCTCTTCATTTTCCGACTATTAGTTATATAATATAATCCGGAGTGTTATTTGTGTTTTCTTGATTTGGAATTATTGATCGTGTAGCTCCATATAAAATAGTGACGATGAAAATAGCAGCATATTCATCCATAAAAAAATAAACGCGATAAAGGTATCCGAAACAACTGTTTTTTGTTATAAGAGATGAAATAGCCGAAAATTACCAAAACAAATATACAAGGCACCATACAGAGGAAGTAGAATTACCTATGAAACACCTTGAATGGAGAAAAGAAGTAGACTTAGACCAAATACCAGCAGGAATTATTTATCTAATTGTGGAAAAAAATTAAATGGATAACAATATTCACCCCATTTACAGAAAAGGCGGTGATACGCGAAAATTTTAAAAACTTCTGTAATAGCCTCCAGTCAACAATTTTCTAATCATGTTTAAAAAACGTACCGAATGCACTGTGTATACTAACGCAAGTCGTGAACATTCGTGTTGTTGCAGTTATGTATTACGATCAACTTTGTTATGCATGACTCCCTTTGTAAAGGTACATAGGCGTGCTCCCGTGCGAAACCAAAAGATTTGTCATACTGTCATACCGTTACATTATATCACATTATAACGTTAAATATTTTATGGTGCCCTTTGGGTATGATAGCATATAACCAATATTCGAACCAAGATTCGAACGAATGATCGACTTTTTCCCGCACAGATGCAATCCTATGTACCTTTACAAAGGGAGTCGTTTGCTGGGTATTAAAGAACCATCTATGGTCATCATATAATTTTACGCCAATATTTCACGTTCTACGATGCATTCCACATATGATACACTGTCTTCTTTAGTTTTCTGTCATTCTATTTGTTAAATCCTATCCCATTCACGTCACAGCGTCAAGGAGCAGTAAATGTGAGCAGTTAACGGGAGGCATATGTCTAACAGTGAACGTTTATCATATGAATAGTATTAATCTTAGCTCTAGGTTTCATTGTACTAACCGCGGAAATATTTCCGAATATATTATATATATATATATATATATATATATATATATATATATATATATATATATATATATATATATATATATATATATATGAAACCTAGAGCTAAGATTAATATTATTACTAAAATTAATATCAAACTCACCAGTCTTCCGGGTTGAACCTCGTCGATATCCATTTTGCCGAGCTTTCGGCATCCTCTCTGATGCCTTCCTCAGGGCTTCCGAGGTCTCAGTCTCCCGAGCCCCCAGACACTATTACACTGTTCACTAATCACTGCACTGTCACTACTACACTACTGTGCTTAGCGCGGAACAGGCGTACGTATTTACTCCGAACTTTTCCTCTGACTCTATTTAGAATACGGCACTTGTCTAATATTACACATATATTACGGACATATTACCGTGGAGAGAAATACACCCTGCTCCAACTGATTATGCAGGGAAAGATACAAGGAAAGAGAAGCATAGGGAGGCGTAGAATGTCATGGCTGCGCAACTTGAGAGAGTGGTATGGATGTACATCAAATGAACTTTTCAGAGCAGCCGTTTCAAAAGTCCGAATAGCTATGATGATTGCCGACCTCCGCCGCGGAGATAGCACTTGAAAAAGAAGACTTGTCTATCCAAAGTGCATACTGATATCACAGTTTTCATACAAGTGCATACAGTTTTCAGCATCTGATGCAGGTGGTTTCTCAACGAGTCCCCAAAAAATGCCACGGTCAATTGGGATATCTTCAGTTTCGATATTGTTTTCACCGGGTATTTATGTATTTGAATGTGAATTTTAGTCTTCCACTCCGTCATTATATGCTTTAAAAAAGTCACTATACTAACATCGACGGTGGCATTTCCTGCAGATTAGAAATAACATGATTAATTAATACTGTTAACAGCTCATGAACACTACAAAACTTCTTTGGCCAGAAGTTTTGAACTCCGTCTGGTCCAGGAGATTTGCAATGAAACTCTTTGATAATGTTCGAGACTTCTTCGGTGCTGAAAGATTCATTCCTGTAGTGTTGACAGTTGTTTGTCGTGTCTTCAATCCATCCAGCATTGTTGCTATGAGTAGGTGTCGTCGACAGTTGGTTTCCTAAAAACTCATGAATTTCTTCTTGGCTTGGGTAGGATTTATTTTTATTTTCTACAGTGGAATTCAGTTTTCTATAGAAAGCCTTCCCTACATGCTCAAAAAGTACTTTGTCGCATTTCCGATTATTACTAACTCCCTAGGCGACCTAAATAAAGAATTTTTGTTCCAGACAGTGTAGACTTATTTCTTCAGCTCTTTTTATAACTTTTCGAAGTCCTACTTCTCGGATGTATTCCGTAATTTGTCCAATATCTCTTCGCAATAATTCAATTTTCCTCAGCAGCCGTTTTTCCCAGGGTGCAATTCTGTTTTCAGTTCTTCTGATATATGCTCATATTCTAATGTATGGGCTTCCACGATATAATTGGGTAGAACTTCAGTATTCGCAATTTGTAACAGCACACCTAGTTTTTTAAGAGTTTATTTTTGGTAGCGGTGGTCTACTAAGTAGGTTTGTCCCATTGAACTCTTGTACGGCACTTGCCATTTTACTTACCAGGCTATCGTGCAACTAGTTGTTGTCCAGTTGCGTATCAACAGATTTGGTTTCTTGTAATGAAGGCTCAGGAGTCTGCTCATTAGGGATATCATTGTGGATTTGATCAACATCTAGCTCTGGGATATAAATTCGCCGTTTGAGTACGCTTCTGATGGTATCGCGTCTAGTCTCTGGGATAAGATTTACTTAGAATTATTCGGTATTGATCTGCTATTCTCTGTTCAGATACTTGAATCTCTGGATACTCCCTAAAAAATTCGCTATACAAATGTTGTCGATAGCCGATCGTTTCTCGACCAAGGTTCGTCACCTTGTAATAAAAGCAAAATGTTTTCGTTTAAAGATACAGTCCATTTCATGCGCTACCTCGGTCGTCTCGCTTGAATGAGCGGATCTAGTTAAACTTTTACCTTTACTTTATAGGACCAATGTAGAACGAATTTAACAAATCTTATCCGATGACACATAATGCATCACAATGAAACATAACGCATCTGACACCATATTTTTTGTTACTACTCTACTTCTGGTTTCACCGAAAATATTCTTAACTTATTTAAGTGGGGCACCTGTATATTTTTCAGATTTTAAAAGAACTTGGTTGTCCTAATTCATACATACAATTTTTGGTAGAAAGAATTTGTTAAAATGGAAATTAAATCACTTTACAGTTAAAAAATAAATAAATTTATTTATTAAGACCAATGGGAATAATAACTTTAAAAAAATATTTCAAACGTTCAAAATGCTCGCAAAAGCCCACAAGGCACCCTGATGCTTATTTATTTTGTATTAGCCTAATAGGAGTAAAAACGTAAACTCGTGTCTTATGTTTTTTATATTAAAACAATGTAGCAAGAAATAAACGAGTACTATCTAATAGGTAACTGTTGACAAACCAATTCACAGTAATAAGTTGCAAAATAAAAACGGTTCATTTTAGTGAAAAAGATATATGGTGTTTGGTTAGAACAGTATCCAAAAAAGTTAATTGTTTGAATCAAAATTGTCCAAAATAGGCTTAATAGGCACGGAAGCTTTATTGGTTACAAGTTTTTAGATATACTAAATAACCAAACTGTATTCTTTCTATCTAAAATGTAGAATTCTTTCTACCAAAAATGGTATGTATGAATGCAATTTAACAGAATGGCCAGTTATAATTTTTTTTCAACCTAGACATTTTTTGAACGCGAATTTTTTAAATCGTTGCAGTGGACGTAGAAGAGAATGCATAGAATGGCCTGCTCATTAATCGGACCTTAATCCGTTTGAATTTTTTATTTGGGTGTGTTAACAAAGAATCATTGATTAATAGTATATAGTATTATTACGTTTACCTATTCTTTAACTGTAAAGTGGATAAAAAATAAACTTGATATGGAAGAATTAGGAATAATAAGTTTTTGAAAACCTGAAAAAATATGCAGTACACGGTGTCTCACTTAAATTAAATAAGTTAAGGGTATTTTCAGTGAAACTGGAAGTAGAGTAGTCACAAAAAATATAGGCCAGATGCGTTATGTATCATTGTACTTATATGCAAATTTTTATGAATGGCGTCTTTTTTTGTTTCAAAGTTTCAAAGATTTTATTTCATACTTTATCGCAACCCTGTATTAAACCCCATATATGTTTATAATTAAAAAAACTTGCTGAAACGATACAGGAGTTGTAAACTTAGATACTGCATCTTAAATGTTTATATCGAACGTACCGCCCATCCCAATTTTTTAGCAAATAGTAGACATCCCTCGTCACAATCTCCCAACCAACAAACATCCCTTGTGTTATCTTTCGAATCAAAATTTAAACCTCCTCCCATTCCAAGCATAGTCATGATACTTGATCGGTGTCCTGATTTTTCTCTGTTTATTAAAATCCTCGGTACATGATTTTCAACCCTACAACCAGAATATACAATAAGCATAAGAAGTAAACCTAAATCATTATATAAAACTAGTAGCATTACTCACCTATCTACTAAGGACGCAAACGGTTGTACTGCCAGGGAAGTCCCTATAATTATTAGTAGATCACATTTTGAGTAGTCTGTCCTTATTCCATTATAGAATTTAGATGGTAAGACCTCACCAAAAAATATTATATCCGGTTTTACAACTCCGGAACATTTTTCACATGATGGAATTTGATCTTTAAAAATGATTTCTGCAAAATAGATTTTTTTTCAATTAAAATTTCAATTATTTGTCAAAAATATTGTTGTATATACATTCAAAAAGCATTTACAATTTTTTGTCCTACAAGGAAGGGAAACTAAAAATAGTAATTTAAATAATATAAAAGCACTTTGATAAAGGGCAAGGCAGATATCGAGCACTGTTTTATTAATTAAATCTTGCCCAAGTACTTTCGCTCCCTAGAGCATCTTCAGGGGCATCTGAAATAAGTCAAGAAACGTTTTTTATATGAAGAAAATGATTAACTTCGATAACAAACTCGAAGTTAATGGATGATAAAAGTTTTTTTGTGATTAACCTTTTAGACTTACTTCGTCAAATTTTGGCCTATCCAACAATTGCAGAATGTCATAGACTTAAAATTAAACATACAATTGAACATAAATACTACACTAAACAAGAACAAACAGTTTAAAATTATTTAAAAAAGTGACATGTGACATATGACAGCTTGGATGGTCAATCACAAGCAAGGAGATGTGATCTGCACATTTCAAAGTTCTATGTAACTAAGCATTGACCAAAGGTCCAACTGACACTACTATAGTAAATTAACTGATAAAATATGACATATAGAATATTTTAACTAGATTGCATAATCCAGATCTCAGACTTAAACCTGTCTATAATACTTAGGGTGTTAGTTTGAGAGCAACAGAAGTGGACATAAAGTATGAATGCAAGAAATAGACTAAACAATCTATTACACAGTGGGTGGTTGACAACAATAAAAGGTCTACCAGGCACTGTCAATACTGTAGAACAGAAGAAAACTGAATATGAAATTAAATCCAAAATTGAAAGCAGTGTATAAATGGGGTATAATTTAGGTAATTCAGTTAAACCCCCAGTCAATGGGAGAACTAAAATTAATATGTAAAGCGTTACTCAAGACCAACTGACCAACAGTAGGAGATGTTATATACAACTGTGGAGAGTGAGTAAACAGTTTTTCTTTCTACTAATGTCATGTAAAATAGACGAACCAGTATTGATGTTAAAATTGTATTTACTAGATAATAAGTGTTGATCAAAACTTTTTTCAGAGTTTGGTCTTTTCAAATGTTGTGAAATTCTGGTAGATAACTGTCTAACGGTTCTACCTACATACGAGGCACATTTATATATTAAAGTGTGATGACAGTCACAGGTATAATAATAACAAAATAACAAAAATAACTTACAATGCTGCTATCGATTTACAACTTTAGACGTTGGGGACACTATAAGAACTTAAATTATGGTCGGGCGACGTTTTGTAGCGGAAATAAATTATTACAAATGAAAAATATCTTTTTAAATGGAGCTAAGCATGGAAGTTACTCTTTTTAAAACAAAACAAAACAAATTCAAAATTTATGTTTAGGTATGTACCAAATGTATGAAGAAAATTTTAACTGTCAAGATTAAATTTTAAAACTTTAAGAATAAATAATATAACAGTTAGCCAATCCCTAATATTTATAATTTTAGTTATTAGAATTTCTTAACATGAAAGCAAAATTATTAGTGAAAAAAGTCTATTGTTACTTTGAATTTTTTTTACGAGAAAACAGTACCTGGTATCACTGACTATTATATTTCCTTCCAAAGTTTTGGGGCTGGAACTGGATTTAAAGCAACATAAATGCGCCTTACAAGCTGCAAAATGGTCTGAAATGACTAGCGACAACAAATAGACGATGGAAGCTGGGCACTGGATTATCGGGCTTCGGGTAACTACAATCTTCAAAGCTTGGCTTTTCGAAACTTCTCGAAAACATGTGGACATCTTTTAAACTGAATCCATCCTCATTAACTGCACTTAAACTCCACATTGCTACTATACTGCACATTTTTCCATGGCAAAGAAGAAAAACGAAAAACTATTACGAATTAGAAGAAAAATTCGGACTAACACAGAAACCAACTGTCTTTTACAGAGACCCCACCGATAGTGATAATCTTTAGAAATCACTCGCCCAACTCGGTATAAACATAGCATATAAAGGGCAATATTTATGTTTATTTGACGCGCAAAATATCCTAAAGCGGTTTCACGATCAAAGAAATACCAAGGAAATACACACTTGTGATATATAAACAAGCTTTAAAATGTATTGTTTATAAATCTCGGTGACGCAAAAAGGATTGAAAGAATATTTCGGTGTTTTAATGCATACAGTGTCATTTTTAATACATACGAAAGAAAACATAAATGCTACAATACCCCCACGTAAGAACGAAACCTGTACAAATAGGAATAGTTTTCGTTTAGGGCAAACAGAATTCAGGTTGGAACAACAGTAGCATTTTAAGCTATTGCAACAGTGCTTCACGACTCCTTTGAATCAAATAAAAAAATTAAACAAAACTAATCGAACATCATCCTAACAAAAATCATAACCAAAACTATTTGTCATAACTGCTTACGGTACTAACATAATTACATTCAAAATAAAACTGGATGCTCGATTTGTTGAGTCGACACCAGGTACAGTTCGTTGGCTCTTAAGCATAACGACCAATGGCAGATTTCTACAAAATGGCTCTAGCTCAACCAAAAGCGTGGAACAGACCAGTGTTGAAGTTTCTGGGAGCGCATAGAGGGTGCTTCCAGCTCAACAAAGGCGGGTGGTCAATAAAATAGCTTAAGCAAGCTTCGCTATGGTTTTCCACTAGGTATATAAAACAGCATTCCACTAGGTATATAAAACATACAAAATACCATAAAACAATAATAAAGAAGACTATGACAGTTAAACAATGAATTTTCGAACTTCCAACTACTGGTTGAAAATCGAACTAACACAAAAAGAAGAAAAACAGGATGGCCAATAGTTCCGTAAGAATATCCTCTGGAATCGATCACAGCGAAAAATTTCAATACCCCCACGTAAGATCTCACAAAAGTAAGGAAACTCCCAAAAGAACAAAATAAATCCAAAAAGTTATTACATAATCTTGGAAAAGAAGAAAAAAAAACGGGTACATGGCATACAAGCCATAATCGATATACAAACAGTTCAGTCTCAAACTAATATTTCCAAAAGAAACAGTCTTCCACAGAAACAAAAAAGTTACGACAGTCCTCCAAAGGAACAGAAACATCACTACAATCTCCCAAAAGAACAAAAAAATCATTACAGTCCTTCGGCACTATTCAAACTTCCAACTTGGTACACAAATCTCAAACTTAACGGCAACAAGGGTAAAGAATAAGAGTATATATACACAAGGCGAAAACGAATGCTTATCTTCCTTAGAAGCTCAACAGGTCACCTATCGGACGAATCCGAAGCTCATCACGCTTCATGTCACATGCTCAATGAAAAGCTGGTGAAACACACAATTTTCAAAAAACAACAAAACCCATGACTAATGGGACAAAGAAACCATTTTTTTCTTATCATTATGTTTCCATTGTTTATTATCGTTAAGACCTGAACATTAAATAAATTGTAAACAAAGATTTAAGTCGTATTTAACATTTTAAAGTGGTACACTCGTATACTGAGAAAGAGTATAAAGTTATGTACTTACTTACTTTAAAGTGATAGTACTTATAAAATACCGTCAGGGAAAAGTGGCGTGGTGAACTACAAGAATATTATTTATACTTATTAGCGACTTATATTCATTAAATGAAATTATAACAGTAAGGTATTTTATTAATTTATAATAAGTATTATATATTTATATAAATAATACACACTTATCAGTAAAATTTAAATATTTCTCACGACAAAATAGCACAATTCTTATAATTTTTTTGAATTACCCCAGTAAAAAAAATGAAGATTCTACGTGAAACAGAGACCGAGATATTAAAAATTGTGCAAGCGCACTTCAATTTAAAGTTCCAATATAAGAAAAAACCAAGCTCAGTCAGTTCTTACATCCACTTTTCCGTGGCGGTATTTTACGAATACCATTATTTTAAGGGTTTTAATTTTTTACTCCTTTACTGTATATGCCACCCATAACTTGGATCATAAAATGTAGATCTTCATTTAAAATCCTTTCAATTTTTAGATCTTAATGTTAATAAACAATGGAAATATGATTTTGAATAAAATGCTATCTTAGTTCTTATTGGTTATATAAGGTTGTGATTTTTTCTCCAGCTTTTATTTAAGATTACTTATAAGCGTGTGACATAAAAAATATCAAAGCTAATATATAAATGTTTAGAAGCTAAAAAAGTCCCCTATTCAAACTGGTTTTAATAAAAAACTTATATGTTGAAGTTTTTTTAATATACCCCGAAGCCGCAAAGAATCGATTGCAAGTTACAAAATACTTACAAAGCCACTGTTTTTTTTTAAATTTGTTTAAATTATCGCTCTCTGGGATAAAAAAATTAAATAAACTAGATATAAACTATTTTTTCGATCTGCTTGATATTTAGCACACTTTAATAACTCATTAATTGCCATAATTTCAAGTAGCTATCTTACCTGTCGTTACGCAAAAAAAACAAAGTTATTAATATTTAAAAATTACTACAAACATAATTTTTTAGAGTTCAGGGTTTTTTGCAATTATCTCGGTCAATTATTTAAGTATTTTGATTTGGTATCTCTTCACAAAATAAAATATTTTTATGGCCTACAACTTTTATTTGAATCATGTTTCTTTAAAATTTATAAAAACGGTTTATAAGCAAAAAAGCATTTTTTACTTTTTAAGATTGTTCAAAAAAACAAGCAAAATCGGTTGTACGTCTTCACTGATTTTTCATTAGCTACCCCTCATACTACTTAGAATTTAAATATCTGTATAAGACTTTTTCAAACAATTTAGCGAGATTCTGTGAACTACTTTCTTAGGGCATGGTTAAGTTAAGTATTATTTTTTTATGCCACTAAGCCACAATTATTGGTCGTGATTGAGATGAAAATTACATTTTTAATTAACCAATATTTAACGTTTTGATTTCCACTATTTAACCTTGTTTATTGTACATATTATGTAAAAATGGAAAGG